TCTGCTTTATTCTCTTTTCACCTACTGTTCAAATAGCTTAGCTGGAAGGTCTACCTTTAAATAAAACCTAAAATGCTTCATTTCTGGTATAAGGGAAAAATGGAGGGAGTCCTCATTTCATGCACTGCACCTGGGTGATGTTTCTGTTCAGAGAGCCAGCATAAAAAGCTACAGACCTTTTAATTCTTCAAGTCATCACCTGCAACAATGATTGTAATAGCTCAGGGGAAAAGCTAAAAACAACTGCAGCCAACTGAATTGCATAGAAAATTCATGAAGGAAGGTATTTCTAAGACATCAGAACTGTCACCACAGATCTTAAATGCAATCAGGGCCTCCAGTTTATCCACACCTTATCTGAGCAATACTCTATACAGGGAAGTGGGGTTGATCTGTCAGAGTTGTTATTCTCTTCCTTTTTCCTCTCTTTCTTTTAAAATTTTTTAACTCCATCCTCTCCACCTCCACAGTATTCCCAAAGGTAGAGATAAAAGTTTTGTAGTGAGAACTGGGTTTTCAGCTAAACAACATCTTCACTAAGAATAAGCACTCTTTACAGAATATTTCACAGGAAAAAGTAATACCTGAAATATATGGTTCAACAATTCCTTGAGATTCAAAGTGGCATCTCTGTGCCTGAAAGGAGCAGTGCTTCAGATATATGGGACTTCAATTCTCATCTTTCTGCACCCTTTTGGAAGGACTTTACATCCCTCTGTGAGGCATCAGTTGTAAAATGAACCCTGCTACTGACAACCAAGAAGAAAGCAAATGCTCTCACAATAGGGTATCTTACCCAGCAGACCAACTCATGCTAGAAAATATGGAATCACAACATTTCAGCCACAAGCAGTGACATTTTGAAGTGCAGCCAGTTAAGCAAAGAATCCCAAACTTAATTTTTTGTGGAAATTATTCAATTTTCTAACAGAATTTTTTCAGCAACCATAAAGAAAGAAGAGAATTGGGATAAAAAGAAAGTGGAAATTTAAAAAGTCAAGAGAAATGTTCCTATTAAAATAAAAGATTTTTTCGTTAGTGTTTTGGAAGAAATAAACACTTTTAATTCCCAGACCACTGTGAAAATCTGCCTCTAGTAAAATGTAACTAACGCCCAAAATACAGTTTTAAATTAAAGGTCAGCAGGGAACCAAGATCTCTGCCCAGTAGAGAGCAAGCAGCTTTTTGTGATATCCCTAAAGACAGACAACAGGCTACAGGGTAGAAAAGCCAAAGATAAGCATTTTGCTAATTTCAGCTTTTCAGAGCACTCAGACATTAAATCTGTACCGTTAAATCCCATTCATCTGTAAGGAAGGGGTTCTGCTAAAGAAATATGAGAATTTCTCCATTCTGCAGTTTAACACAAGTTACCTGCTTGTTGCAACCTATTTGGCAACTGGACAAAGCAGATGCTTCACACGTGGTCCTTCTCTCAGGCCAACAGCTGGGTGGGCAGATGCACTGAAGGGGAAGATGTGCCCTGGAATCCACTCTGCCCATTAGAGCATCTTCATGAGTTTGGAAGTGCCAGCACTGCAAGCACTTGGCTTGTCAGTCCCCAGGACTTCTGAGCTGTCTTTGCTAAGGGCAAAGATCACCTGGAAGTTCACAGCAGTAAGGAGAGCTCAGTGCAGATTTTCCTGATCTAAACACAAGTGCCTATTGTGCAAGTGAGAGGAGAAACAGCCCAACCACCTGCAGGAGAGCAGATCCAAGTCTGGCAGTCTCAACTCCCAGCAGCAGAGGCTTTCCATACACTTGCAAAGCATTGTGACACCCTGAACTTGTTAGTTCTTAGGGGAAAGGAATTAGCAGTATGACAGCTCCAGGGGAACATGAAGTAGTCCTGGCTCACAGCAGGGAGTGTTTTGACTACGGTGCAGCCAGAATCTGCCGACTGAATGTGTGGCAGTTCCCCTATGTCAGCACCCAAGGTGGTCTCAGATCACCAAGCTGACCTTGGCCACCAGGAATGATACCTCTCAGGTATCATGGCTGAGAAGAACAACTCCCAGCAGCTTCCTTTGGTATGTGCATGTTTTAATCATAGCTGCAAATGTCAAATTGCATAAGGGCAAAGTGCATTTTCCCAATACCTTCTGTGATTTCTAGGAAATGGACATGGCCCATCTCGGCTCCAAGAGCAGCCAACAGCTCTGGGATCCAGATCTGCACCACAGCCAAAGCCACCTCAGCTCAGTCTTTGCTCTGTGCCTTGGTTAACTCTGTGCATGAGGAGGGTGGGGTGGGCATCACCCAGTGGCAACATGTAAAAACTAGCAATAGCTACAGACTGAATCTGACCTCCAAGAAATAAAGCACATGTTGCCAAAAAGATTAAAATATTCCCACCAAAGTTTTTTCAAAAAAAGAAATCAGAAACAAAAGGCTTTTCTTTTAAAAGAAGAAAGCAAAATGCCAGCTTTTAAATCCCTGTGCCTTATAATTGAGCCCAGGGTTATGCCACAATTCAGGTAAATGATGTTTATATAACTGGTATTTGGCTGAACACATAATTCCTATTTAACAGCTGAAAAGAGGCATTTTGGGTCTTCAAAGAAATCTGACAGGTAATTCCCACTGTAGTTCTGCAGGGTAGCTGAGAAGTAATTATCCTTCTCACTAGTAAATCAATTAGGAATGAATGTATGGAAAGCTTTTCTCCTCCTCCAAGTAAGCACTAATCCTCTAAGCACTAATGAGTAGACAGGGCCAGCAGCAATGTGCAAACCCATCACAAATCGACAGGAGCTCCAAGGCAAGAAGGCTCCAGCCAGTGCCTGAGTGAGTGTCTCAGGAGAAAACACCTTGCCTGGAAAGGTTTGCATGTGTGCACACAGGCTCTGTGTGTGTGTGTTACTGCTGGTACCTCCCTCCCCACTCACTGCCTCGAGCAAAGACCTCTTCTGCAGCTCACAAGAGATCCCTGCATCATGTTCAACAAGGCAGCACTTCTGCTGCTGGAGGTGAAACTCAAGGGACCTGGGCTTTTTCTGCTGGGATGCAACTCATTCACCTATTGCTTTATGATTCAATATTGACAGCTGTCCTCAGGAGCTCAGCAAAATCATTCTGCTTATTCCCCATATCACAGGAAAAATATTCACCCAGAGAGACTGGGAGAAGACTACAACCCTAGTGCATTTTTTGCAATACATAACCTCAAGTATCTGTAAGAGAAGTGGGTGGAGACAATAAACACAAACCTGAATTTGACAAATTTCAGATGCTCTGGTCCAGTGACACCTTGTTCAGACATTCTCAAGTGCTACATGAATGTCTGGAATTGCTGTGAAGGTTAAAGCAGAGTTCAGACAGACCAGCTGTTTAAGCATGCACAGTAACAGTGCTCATATATTTAGCAGAGGTAGAAACAATAGAAGCAAGTTGCTCCCACAGCAGCCAGCACTAGAGCTGGTTTCCTATGAGTTCTCCTTACAGTTTGTCTCTACATTTCATATGATTTTTCAGAAGGGATGAGAAGGGCACAGATAGGTCCAGAAATAATTTCCTTAAGACAGAAAACCAAAAAATTTCTTCTAAATTTCTAATCTCAGATAAGTAAACAGCAGGTAAAGATAGGTCTATATGCCACTATATGATGAAATGTAGGTGGTTTTAATTTAAAAAAAGAATTAAAAAGAAGATTGCTAATTTGTAAAGCTCAGTAGCCTGAGAAATTGCTAGAAGATAATAATATATCCTTGTACTCTGATTTGTGAGGGAGTCTTTACACCAGTGACGTAGGATTTGTAACTGAGCATATTGCCTGTGCTTTTGGGTTGGCAGAGTTGCTTTGGAAACAGAATGAAGAAGAATTAACTCTTCAGAGCCCCCCATATTGGATATAGGATGGGTGTGAAGGCCAGGAAAACTCACTACAAAACATCTTAATCTGTTTTGCTCGGGAAAAAACAAAAGGTTAAAAAAAAAAAAAAGTCAAGGTAGTTGTCGCAACAGTTCAGCTTCTGCATCAGGAAAAATATAAGCCAAACTCTGGCCACTGCATTCTTCCTCTTCTCTGTACATCCAAACACGCTTAGTAACCAGAGCTATGCCTGCCTTATGATGCATACACTGACATAAACATCAGTCCCTAAACAGCTATAGACTGACCAGTGATGGAAAACACAACAGTCATAATAAGAGCAGTACAAGTAGCAAGTTACTAGTTTGGAAATCTTTTGATGGGGACAGGATATGGCCAGTTTGGAAGTGATCAAGCCAAATATGCTGCAGTGAGCCTCTACACTGTCCGAACACAACTTCACTGTCAGCAATTAGCTTCGTGCTGCAGCCCTCCCACATTGATTTCTGCGGGTAGCTGAAAGCATCTTTGTCCCACTACCTCCCCTGAATCAACAAAGGCAATAATTTTAAAGCAAAAAGGCACTGAGTAGCAGTTCCTGGGCTGTGCTTGTGTGAGCCAGCTGCAGCCCTCAGAGCATCACGTGGGAACAGCGAGCAGGGGGTTGGAAAGCTCTGACCTCATCCTCTCTCCTACACAACCTAATCAAATTGTAGGTCTTCCACCCACTCTCACTGGCATATTCTGCTTTCAGCCCCCTTACATGATGCAACCAAAGAAAATGTCATTTACATCTTTGCCTCCAAATGTGGGGAAAGAGAGTCAAATGCAGAAATAAACGCCTTTTATTCAATATTTCTAATAATAAGGAGACACAAAAGCAGGGAGATGGTGTAAGCATGAAACCCAGAAATATTTGTGTGTGTTTTTTAAAGTTGTAACAGTCAGATGCAAATAAAAGCAACCTTTTTACTTCTCCAGCAAATTCAGAAGGGAATTAAGAGCTTCATCACCATCACGAGTAAGGCAGGATCAGTTCTGTGGGATTCCATGGAATTGCATCAGTGCAACTTAGACAACAAATTCAAACTCTTGTGAATTACCAACAGATTTCACTTTAAGATCATAATTCCTCTCAGAATGCTGCAATTTTGTTTCTATAGCTACCAGAGCAATGGCTCTCCCTTACCTTTCTCTTGTTAGTGGGACTGACATACAGGTAGCTCAGCACAGTCTTCAGGCCTACTTTGTCATTTAGCTTTTCATAGGTAGTGCCATAGTCTGTTGACCTGGAGAAAAGAGGAGACAAAAAGAGTTTATGTGGTTATCAGAGCTCAGGGGAAGGGAATGACTGTGTGAACAGATGCTCCAAGTTACAGTTTGAGTATTATTATGCTTAAAACACAAGATTTTATGTTTCATTCAGAGTGGCCAGCAGAAAAGAGAACTTTAGTCCTTTGGGGCAGTGTCTCTGCATTCATTAATCATACACATCAGGGGAGTTGTGGTGCTCCCATGCAGGTGGGCTTTGGGGCCAGGCTCTGTGCTCATGTGTCAGTGTGGAATTGCAAATGATATCTACACATACGATGCATCTGATACCAGCAGCACCGTTAGTACGAATTCTTTTTTCAGACAAATCCAACATAAGAATCCAAATTAAACCCAACAACAACAGTTTTATTTAGGTAGGCTGATTTTTGACTTGAAGATGGGGATCCAAATGTGGCTCAGAATTGTAACAGCTGAACTCATGTCTAGATAAAAATGTGCCTAAACTGGCACCTCGAGTCCTCAGTCACCCCCATCCTACTGTGTGCCAGGCATTTAATTTTTCTGAGTTACAAAGACAGATTCAGGCCCCTACTCTAGCAAATCCCACCCAGAGGAGCAGATGATCTGGGGGTGGCATTACCCATTCGTGACTGGGGAAAAGGGCTGCTTCGTCACAGAGGGGTTTCTGTAGTGTCCTCCTCCTCATTTGTGGGCATCTTTGAAACCTCACTGCCCTGCTTGTTTCTCTACTGTTTTCATACTTTGTTCTCCTAACAAACAAGATTTTTCCTACCGGAACAACCCAACAGCTACATCATACAGGAACCTACACCTGAGGAGTGCTCAGCACCAGCTGATTTTAGGAGGGAGGGGTGTCAGACCCTGCCTGGAAAGCCACCCCAGCCCATGCAAACAGTGGGAAGATCCTGGCTCCCAATCCAACTCAGCTTCTGTCACAGGGACAGAGCAAACGCAACCCTCAGCACATGGACAAGGAAAGGTCCTCATAAAAAGCCTACCTGGACATATCTACAACTTTATTAGGATGAGAATCCATGGCCCCTGCCCTCCTCTCTAATCACACTTTTTACTGGCCACATGATCAGAGGACATGCAGCAATTCAGTGCCTTTCCCAGTACCCTGCTCCAATAATTTGGTTTCCTAAGTTCAGCAAGCCCCTAGAATTTGCAGCTTTATGGTTCTGCTGGAGACCAATCCTCTGCTCCCTTTCTGTCTGGCAGAGAAATGACCCAAGCCACTTCTGGCATCACAATGCACAGTGTAACTCACATAGCTGGAGAAACTGAGCAGTGCCAGAGCCTGCACCCAGCTGTGCTGCTCTCCTTGCTGCTAGTGCAGTCCAGAGTCCAGACACCAAAAGGGCCAAGGCACAAAACCAGCCAGCTGGTTTCAGGCTTCCAAGCAGTGAATCATGAAGTCAAAAGCTTGCTTTGTTACTGATGTGGCTCCAGCACATTTCCTTCACTGCATCCTTCAAGGACAATTCCTAAATACTTTGTAAAGGCCTTCTTTCCTTAAATGGGTTGAACCAGCCTTACTCCTTTGAACAGTCACCAGCCAGGGTGCTTCAAGTCTCAAACAACTTCCTTGTGTTTTGGTTAACATTTTAATACAAAAATAGAGCTAATACTAGCCCCATCTGCATTTACCACTCTTCTGTACTAATGCATAGTAATATCACCCACTGGGGTTCACAGAGATATCCTAAAGAATATGACAATAATGTACTGTATTTTCATAGAATTTTCCCATCCAAAGTATCTGAAGCTCTTGTCTCACTAGGTATCAATATCAAACAAACAAACAAACAAAAAATAATAATAATAATAATAGCAGTCTTCCATCTCCAGCCAATCTTGAAACTGAAACAGCTTTATTAGCGAAACTGAATCATCCAGGACAATTAATTCCAGTACATGAGGCCTCCTATAAATTCAAAATGAAAAAGTCAGGAATCCTCAGGTAACACTGAGCTCTAAGCAGAGGATAACAGACAGGGTGCAAGCAGAGGCACTTCCTTGATCTTACCCTTCCAACAGCACTGCAGCTATGAGCAAGCCACTTTTGTGACTACACATGTAACAGCCACCAGGCAGTGAAAGAGATCACTGGTTTCAATCAACATTAAAAGAGAATACAAGTAACAGTTTAATATTCTGACAGAGCTACTTTGCGTTTGTTCTCTGAGTAATTTTAAGATCTCCCAAAATGCTTTCACACTTCTAAAGATGCAGGCTGGATGCTCTAATGACTCTTTCTCATTAAACCATTATCACTCATTGCATTTGCCCTTTCAAAGGATAGCTAAAAAGGAAGTAGGATCATTATTTCGTTAGCTTCTCTAAGGCTTTCTTTATTATCATGACAGTCACCACTGGCTTCACAGAAACATCTCAAAGGATATCACAATAATATACTGTATTACCATGGCACTTTTTCTGGCCAAAAAATCTAAAGCTTTTGTCTTGTGCTAATCCATTCAAACTAGCAAAGTCCCAAAAGCCATACTGGGAAATACTATCTCTATTCTAGAGAGGAAGAAGCTGAAAGCTTGCATAGGTAATGATTCATTTTTTCAAAAGCAGGCATCTACAATTAGCCATTTCAGCTTCTGCAATCATCATAGCGTAGGGCTCAACTCTACCACCAAATTGCCTAATTAGAAAACAAGTATTTAAAAAAAAAGTTGGCTGCTAATTTTAGCTACCCAAGCCTGAACATTTAAGCACATGTGACCCACAGGTGGAACAGAAAAGTTATGAGTCAGTTTTTAATCTTGACTCCTTCTCCTTTACTAATTACTTCTAATTCCAAATGAACGAGCCATACATCCTTAAAGTTGTTTGACACTACAAGCAGACTGGATACCATGTTCTCTCCCACTCCCCTGGTCACAATTTGATCCCCTTCCAGGCACATTACTAAAGTAGTGGAAGAGAAGAAATGTTGTACTTCTATCAAAATGACAAAAGATGTTTTCCATAAGTCATACTTGAAAAGCCTGCCTGAACTTTGTTTAGACCTTTAATGGCAAACTGATCCTGCCTACCTGGTTCTCCTCTGGGTTGCTCCACTGAAGCCATCCCTGGAATCTCATCGCCTTGGAAGGTTGCTACTGCCTTCAGTCTCAAGCTGATATTTCCATATTGCTTCTAACCACACACACGTGTCCATATGAAAGTACTTTTAAGAATGCTTTCATAAAATGCATCTCAATACACTGCTGGTAGCACAGAAACTCTTGCAATACAGGACTGTGAATGTTACAGTGATTGTCCCTCTGCACTCAGCACTGGTGAGGCCACACCTCGAGTGCTGTGTCCAGTTCTGGCCTCTCACTCAAGAAAGTCATTGAGGGACTGGAGTGAGTCCAGAGAAGGGCAACAGAGCTTGTGAAGGGTCTGGAACACAAGTCCTGTGAGGAATGGCTGAGGGAGATGAGATTGTCCAGCCTGGAGAAAAGGAGACTCAGGGGTGACCTTTTCACTCTCTACAACTGCCTGAAGTGAAGGTGTAAAGGAGCTGGGGGTCAGCCTCTTCTCCCCAGTGGCAGGACAAGAGAACATGGCCTCAGGCTGTGTCATGGAAGTTCAGGCTGGACATCAGGAGGAATTTCTTCACAGAAAGGCTGATTATACATTGGCACAGACTGCCTAGGGGGATGGTGGAGTCAGCATCCCTGGAGGTGTTCTAAGAGAGACTGGACATGGCACTCAGTGTCATGGTGTAGTTGGCAAGGTGGTGTTGGGTCATAGGCTGGACTCAATGATCTCAAAGGTCTGTTCCAGACTAACTCATTCTGTGGTGTGGAATGGACTCTGGTCATATATAGCAATTCTGCATAAACTTAGTCCATGTGTTTTGTCCCACATGTCTGTAATAATATGGGTTTGGCCCTGTTTCTCATGATGACCTTGAGGGTCTAGGCTGCATCAGACTTTTGCTCCTCACCAAATTCTGTGTATTTCGTTTGGAAAACCAAGGTTTATAATGAAGTGCTTTATTGGGATACTGCAATTTCTCCCATAATTATATTCTGTTTTAAACAGCGTGAGAAAAAAGCCATCTGCTTGATTCCATTGCCCTCCTGTGACAGGCTATGATATGTTTAAACCATCACTGCAACTTCCCCCAGTCTGGCAGAGCAAGGTGCAAGGGATACACCCAGGCAAAGAAGCTTCTGCATACAAAATCTGCTCAGAAGTCAGAGCACCACTAGCTAGCAAAATCCATCTTGTTCCTCTAAATCTGAGCCTGAGCTGCTCTGTGAATCCAACAAACTGGCCTGAGCCAGCAGACTTCATACTGTGATAAGACTTGCTCAGTCACAGAGATATGAAGTAGAGGTGTGGAGAGGCAGAAATAATGCCATGTGAATAGCTTTTAGAGTTCTCCTCTGTGATGCTTTCCATCTCAGAGCTCTGTCAGACAGAGAAAAGCAGGTTTGTTTGTTTGAAGTCTCAGCTATTCAGCTATGGAGATAGGCTATAAAACATGTATCAGTCTCTCAGGAGAAAAAGAGCTGCAAATGCTGGCACTGAATGACTGGGATGAAAAAGTCAACCTCTTCCACCAACCATCCTGTCAGAGGGTTTCTCCTCTGTTCTATGACTCTCTCTTTCTGTGGAGAAGCAGCCATAATGCTTTTGATTTTAGATTTTCAGCCATTTTCTAAGCCTCTAAAGCTGATGCATTCATCTCCAGCTCGGAGTCCCACTACACATACCTGCAGCCCCACACTGAAAACTGTGTGGAGGCACAGCTCTGCTTAAATGAGCAGAAGAATATCCCAACTCTCTGTGCGCTTCAGAGAGCAATAGGAACTTGCCACATTAATATTTGCTTCACTTCTCATGGGCTGCAAACTGTCTGCCTGCAGCGTGATGGTCTCTCCATACCCTTCAAACAACTTCTTGCTTTTACTCATTGGCCAGTTTTCTCCCAGTTTGCCAGAAAAACAAAAAACCCAAGAGGAACAAAGTTTCTACAAGT